AACATAACCTTTGTATGGGAGGTGGGCATGGTTATTATCCGATTTATTCCATTTTTGAACTGTATATGGAAATGCCGAAATGAAACGACTCTATACAGTTTGGTTGACATAGCTATAGTAGTTTTCGAGATATGTACAAAAAAGTTAGTAGGGGGCGGGGCCACGCCACGTATAATACTCTCTTTAGCAACTTTCTTGCGAGAGTRTAAAAACAGTAATTTTTGTGTCGGATTGAAACGTTACGACAAGTCAMCAATCAAATAAACGACAAAGCGGAATAGACACATCGCCAAGGTTATGATTTGTATTTGTTAGATAAAAAAAGGCGTGCTGTTACCTTCTAAAACCGGGTAATATCATTAATGAGGAACACTGTCGACAAAAACCTCATAAAATTGGAGCGAAAAAAAATGGTTTTTTGCGTTTATAAACGAGGTAAACATATTACATGAACACTACGCTCGGCATTGTATTGTAAGAACAGTTAAAAAATATTTGAAAAACTGCAGATGGGAACCTTTTTCTCACCTTCCTTATATCCAAGACCTTAATGCTTTTGACTTAGTTTTATTCCAGTCGATGCAGTACACTTTACTGGGAAACCGGAATAGAGTATCAAAAATTAGTATCTTGGTAATACTTTGATTAATGTTATTGGGCATGTTTTTGGGCAAGTTTTAGAGACTATTGGCATATGATTTCTTTTACTGCTAGAGAACGAAGTTTTGTGAAGAGAATGAAAAAAAATAAATTTAGCATTAAAAACAGACTGACTCAGAAATCATTAGAAAAAAATTGTAAATTCAGCTCAGATCTACATTTAAGAGCTGCTTTCATTGATACTGTTGAAATAATGCGTAAAATAAATAAACTCAAATTAAGAGTATAAGAAATTGTTGCTGACGTTGTCACACAACAGCTGAACTGTGAAGAGGTGACTGTCCTTARTAGTCTACCTCAAGCTATCGATTGGGCGGCGACGGTCTTTGCTTCATAGACTTAATTAAGTGTATAAAGTAYATATATAAGTGGTCAGCATGAGCACATGAGCCGACCTTACTCGTTTCCTCGCTGCACGGAACTTATAATTCTTCTCCATAAAATCCACAGCGACCGTATTCACAAACTGGACGAAAGAGTATAGAGCTGAACTTAATATTGCAGGTGATAGCATTAAGATTCCGACTGTTAATAATATTTAAATATTAAGTGTGACTTTTGACAGTTTGTACTCCTTCACTCCTCACACGACCGCGATTATTGCCAAAGTACAGAGCTGCAGAGAAACGTTGTTGACAACTTAGAATGCAACCAGCCGTCCGGTCCTCAATTACGCCGCATCAATACGCAGACGATATGCAGACGAGGTAGCTCGAAACTTGTCAGAACACTGCACTCCAAAGTACGACAGAATGTCTCTTGATATCTCCAATCGAGGCCCGTATACTCCCAGAAAATAAGGATCATAATGAACTCCTCTTCAAGTAGTTCCATCTGGGGTGCTTTCGCAGAAATCATCTCTGCAGTCCCCTGCTCGGATTGAAACCGCCTCCAAGGAGGTCATTCTTCAAACAATAGCAATACCTGATTTCGGGTGCAACAAACTTCAGACAAGCACTGACCGCCTTTCACAGTGGAGCCATCAACACTTTCATCAAGTCCGTCTCCGTGAATGCTGTACTTGCAGTCAAACCACCACCCATTGCAGACAAACTGCTCGAGTTGCCGYGAGRAACGAGWGTGAACTCCTACTTATCCAGAAKARACSCCGACATGTCTAATATGCAAGTATGTCCAACGCATGCAAGGCAATGAGTAAACGCATGACACTGACCACCTCTTTGCATGCTCCACTAAACCTACTCACTTACCGTTGGACGATGCCGACGACAACTTATTTAATTCTTGCCATCCTAATGGAGATTAATGGCTTGTTASAGTGACATACGCGTATTAACCATCATTTCTTGTAATATGGATCTGTAGTTTTGGACACGTTCTCTTACCTTCAAGAAGCCGACATCGCATCACTATAAAACAGAGCTGAGACACAAATTGATTGATCAAGCTCAAGTTYTAGCATGGAAAAWTTTTTTATTTGMGSAGAKATCGTGACGAACTCGAAAAGAAAGATTCCCCAAAACAATAGTTCACATCGATTCACTATAACATAAGGCTGCTCTTCAAACTAACTTTTAAAAATCACGATAAAGATCCTTGTATATACTTTTATGGCATAAAAATGTACTTGTGAAGGGTATGYTAGTTTCGKTGCAGCCAAAATTAATGTGTCTTCCTGCTTTTTCTCCAAGCTTTCTCCGTTGTTAAACAGAAATTTATATTTTTCTTTGTYTCCTATGTTCTTCTCACACCTTCGCTCAAGCTTTTGCTTTTTCAATATATTTAACAAACCGTTATTGTAATCTATAATTAAACATATTTATTTATATAACCGTAAAYACAACAGAATATCGCATTAGAGGTTCAGCTCACGCTCTCTAGAGCGCATTTTATCAGTACTTCCTACATTTATGTACTTTCGAAAAGAGAACTGTCAATTTTAACCGTAATGTGTTTGCTTTGTTCGCTTAAGCGGTAAAGTTATTACTAACCTGTGTAAAAAAACAACAAAGAGCAACGCACGCGTATTTCATCAAGCAAATGCGGTGGGTGGAAGTAAGCATCACGGATGCATCATTTACCAAGAATTTTAGACGCCGAGTAAAGCGATTACATTAATTTTCTTCATTAAAAAGTCTGCGCTGCAAAAATACTTCGGAGGCAAAGGTAGTGCGAACACATAAGCATATGTGTACATGAAATTGTTTGCGCGCGTGTGTCGCGCACTTACGTCAAATATAAGCTCACTTGTAGTTGCAGTTTGCTGCTTTCTCACACAATTTCCCCTACCAAACTCGCTSGCAGCAATTTCTTTGTTTGGTATTATTTTCCGTAACTTGCGGAACGCCACAACGTTGACGGTAGTGAGAAATCTCAAAAATGACTTGGTGCTGAGGCCTTTTGTTTACTCATACACACATACACCCACATTCAAACACGCATTTACTCCCAGGCTTGTGTACCGTTACATGCATACACCCGTTCAAGACTTGGTACGGATGTTGGGAAGTTATTATTGCGCTTCGCTTATAAAATGCTTTTAAGGATTGAAAGAAAATTTCTTAAGTATAAACAYAACGGAGCGTCGCAACAGCTTGTGGAAATGAAATTTAGTGAAATTTGCTTGAGTTTGGCTGTAATTTAATTTGCATGTACTGCAGTGGCGTAGTTGATTCTTAACTTGCAGAGATAAGAGATATAAAAATAGAATAAATTCTTAAAAAATAATAATAATAACAATGTAGCACTTAGACTGCTTAGACTGCGACAAACTTCCGCTTTATTTTGTGTTATGATTATATTTTCAGAAATGCATTAGAAAGCTCCAGGAAATTCAATCAATGTGATTTTTTTAGGCAAATTATACTAAACTACTAAAATGCTAAAGAAAAACGTCRGAAGCATTAYCTGGYTGTGCAATAAGGCTTGCCGTTCGATAAAAGAGGGCGTTGCTACAAGCCAACCGTTTTTTTTTTTTTTGGTACACTCTTCATATGAACTTTACAAGCCATTTAGTGTCTCCGTGTCACAGTCACACAATGGAAAAAATTGAATGTGGTGCAGTGATATAATTATAATTTTTGGAAAGCGTAGCAAAAGTGTATAATGATTGTTCACCTACCTTTAGAACAGTAGAAAGATGGATTGCTGAATTTAAACGTGGTCGTACAAGCCTTGAAGGCGATCCACGT